ATATAAAATCATGAGTGATGTGGAGAAAGTGGATAAGGAAAAGTTATTTACTTATTCCCATAATACAAGAATTAGGGGTCACCAAATGAAATTAATAGGCAGCAGGTTTAAAACAAATACAAGGAAGTTCTTCTTCATGCAGCGCACAGTCAACTTGTGGAACTCCTTACCTGAGGAGGTTGTGAAGGCTAGAACTATAACAGCGTTTAAAAAAGAACTGGATAAAAGTCCATTAATGGCTATTAGCCAGGATGGGTAAGGAATGGTGTCCCTAGCCTCTGTTTGTCAGAGGATGGAGATGGATGGCAGGAGAGAGATCACTTGATCATTGCCTGTTAGGTCCACTCCCTCTGGGGCACCTGGCATTGGCCACTGTCGGTAGACAGGATACTGGGCTAGATGGACCTTTGGTCTGACCCGGTACGGCCGTTCTTATGTTCTTATGTTCTAAGCATCTCTCTTCAAAAATATTGGGCCCTTCCGGCAGATGTGCCTGTTCTGCTTGGAAGAAGGCTAAACATTTCACTTAATACTTTGGATGGTGCTGGATTTTTCATATTGAATGTGAACTGAAATGGAATCATGTCTATTCCAAGCCCTTTCCCTGGGGAAAAGGACTCTTTTGCTGTGGTGGGGTTCAGGGATTTTTAGGAAGAGAAACCTGGGGTTTTGCAACAGTGAAGTGGCCCAAAACTTCCCATTCCAAAATGCTGGAGGAATCTAATCAAACCGCAAGGAATTCCCCTTTAAGCATAATGGCTTTTTGCAGAATTATTTCAATAATGGCAATCAGCAGAAAGCAGGATTGTTAGAGAATTGGGCTAAAGGATTAACACACAGAGAGGAATTTATTTTCGCAATGAGCGAGATGAAGGATTGGCCGCATATCATTTTATAGCTGCGTGACAAACTGAAATACAAATGCCCTTTTTTACTCTGTGCAGATGCTTTGCTGTTAGTACCGTCAATGTACTATATGGGTATGTGAACGCTGCAGCTGGGGTAGGCTCATGCTAGTTCAGCTTGAGCCAGTGTGCTAAATATAGCAGTGAGGATGTTGTGGCACCAGCAGTGGCTCAGGCTTAGCCACCCAAGCTCGGACTCACCCTACACCCTGGGCCCGAGTTAGCCTGAGCCCCTGCCAGTGCTGCACTGTCCGCCTAGCTCAAGCCGAGCTCGCTTGAGTCTGGGAGGCATGCTCCCAGCTGGAGTGTAGACGTACCCAATGTGTCTCTGAAATCTGCTTCCCTTCTTTTCCCTTTCTTTGCAGAACTAGTTTCAATCCCAATCACCCTTGTCTTGTAAGACCAAACTTGGAAAAAAATATATATATGCAGGCAAACAAAACTCCCTCTGTAGCTTGAATTAGGTGGGATCCAGTGAGATGTGTATTTGGACAGCCACGGATATGTGTGAAAACTAGAACTGTGGATGAGTCAGTCAGTTTGATGAAAGGGAACTTATCTCTAGCTTAAAAAAGGCACCTAAAGAACAGTGTCACATGACGTAGCTGGGTGGATGTTGTGCACTAAAATGGAGTATATTTCTACTCTGAATGGGATTCAAAGGCAAGGTGTAGACCGCTGCTTGACCCCCAGTGAACAAGGGGTTAACCTCCAGCTCTGCTTTGTCCTCCCCCTACAGATGCTTGAGAGAGTGGATTCTTTGGAGATAGAGGGAGGGGTGCTTTGGGGAAAGTCAGACACTTCACAATCAGTCTTAGTTTTTCTGTTCACTTTCCTGCTTGTCTTCACGTATTTTACTTTGTTTGCTGTGCACGTTCTCCCTTGGGGGCAATACTTCTGCTTACTGCAGCTGTATTTTCTGTCGAGTAACCCCCCTAGTGTACATATTTAAAACAGTTTCTCTCATGCCAAAGGAATCTCTAGTTTTCAAGTATCATGTACTGTAGTTAGTTTGTGGTGCCTAGATACTATGGTAAGGGGTGCCGCAGAGGGAGAGATTAAGAAGTATATTTGTATAGAAATGTATAGTCAGAATTGCTTGGATCCTAGCACAAAAGGCACAGTGTCCCCAGTCTGGTCCCTCAATTTTATGTTGTTCCATTAATTTACGTATCAGTTTCCTAGAAGTGCTACTGTGATTTCTCAGTAAGGCCCTTATAACGGTGGCATGGGTTTCCAGCAGAAGAATTCTAGGAATGATAACTCGATATTCTTTTGACGTTCCCCAAAGACTCATCAATTTAAGTGGCTTAACTATGTGTAAATAAAAATATTGCAAAAGCACAATATGACATGAAGACAAATGATTTTTTTAAAGATGGTTATCTGTATTTAATTGCAGCCATTGGTTCAGTACTTAAAGTTTCAGTGTACATCAGTTTGCCTTGTCCTGATTCTCTCTCTACTAAAACTCATCACAGACCTCAGCGCTGGTGCCCAAGTCAACAAGGAAGCAAGAGCCTGTGCTTCTCTATAAGAATGAAAGGGTGCCTTTTTCCTTTGACCTTCTAGCAGGGGAGGGGAGAGAAGACAAGAAAATGATTTAATAGAGATTGGTTTCCTCTGAAGGACTTGCATCCTCCATAGTTATCAATTTTACTGTTTTGCATACCTACGTGCTGACCCACTTACTTGTATGACGTTTGGTAGGCTGGGCTGCCTTCCTTGCTTTGTTAGTTCTGTTACAAAGCTCATCCTCCTTGGGTCATTTATTCGAATCAAACCTAGATTAACGACCCATCTCCTGAACAGCTGGTTGCACGTGCCCCTAGGAGCCTCTTGCTCATTGATCAGGCATTTGCTATGTGTTGAAGGTGTGTTTATTCTAAGGGGGAGCCTTCCAAGATCCAGAAGCCACACGGGAGAGCAATACTTAGTGCAGGTCAGTTTTCTTGTCAGATGACTCTGACCAAGCATGCTCCCCAGCCTCCTTTCTTTTGTTCTTTAAAGGCGTGAAACTTGATTGCTTGTCCGGTTGCAATAAATGCACATGGTGATTTACAGACAAAAGACAAAGGGTGCAATCCCGGCCCCACTGAAGTCAGTGCCTGTTTTGCCATTGACTTCAATGGGGCAATGATTTGACCCGCTGTCACTACTTCCAAGGGATTTGCAGTCCAAGTTAAGACATACTTGTCAAGAAATGGTAGGAAACTAAGGGAAAAGAAAGGGAGAGGAGCTACCAAACAATAAGATTGTATTCTTGGTTTGGTTAATAACACATGTGCCTTGTTTCAAACTCTACTGTTACTTTGAAGGAGAGACTGTAGTTTAGTTTACAGGCCTTGTGGTTTCTTCAGAGCTCTGGTCCGAGGAACCTGACTGCAGTGGAGGAACCACATCAGAGCACTGATAGCAAGTAGGCAGCCTCCCGGCCCAAAGACAACTGTACTGCGTGTGACACCTGCCCGCTGAGATGATACATCATATCTGTCGGTAGCAGGGGAGGCCAGGGTAGTTTTTAAAGGAAATTTCTCATCATGAGGTTGGTAGGAGTTCCCTCTGCATTCTCCCCACCTCCCTCAGATACACTGTGCCGACTGTCATGTTGCTGTCAGTATTCTGTCAAGTGGGGGGAAGGTCCCTGAAAACTTTCCTTCCTTAGCTGTTCAGAACTGGAATGACAACCTGCTTGGGGATGTGATTGAACCAATTCCTAATGCTTCTTGTCTCACTTGCGAAGGAGCTTCACAGCTTAGTTCCCACCCAGAGGAAAGCTCTACCCACAGCTCGCAGCATTGGGTCAAAGACTGCACACACATTTTTTGGTTCTAATGGGCTCTGCCACACTCAGGGTTGCCCATCTGCTTCGTGTGAATGATGAGGAGTGAAGTGTACTATTGCAGTGGCTCCCAAACTTTTTAGTAAGGCAACCCACCAACTGCTTGCTTTTTTCTTTTTTGCAACCCACCCGCAGTCCAAAATCACAGGCCAGCGTCCTTCTCTGCCACCTCTTCCTCCTTGCCCTACGGAGGGGGCAGAGGCCACCCATAGCAGCTCTCTCTGCCCCAGCACCACAACCCTCATCCCAGCTTGGTGCAGAGAGGAGGTCTCGGGGTGGTGGTGGGGCACAGGGGAGGTTGGAGAGTGAGTCTACCCTGCACTCACCCTGCCATGGTGGCGCCTGTCCTGGCACTTCACTTGTTGTGACCTGGTGCACAGAGCTGCAGTGCTGCTCAGGTTTGGTCCTGAGTGGGCACCGGTGCCCCCTGTGCCAGGTCACAACACCACTCACTAAATTTGGCCCAGCTGCCCCTCCATCATGATATGTTAGCTGAATGGGCTGTAGGCTCCCTCCTAACAGACAACAGAGGCAACCAGCAGAACTTCAAACATGCTAGACTGCCTCTTGACAGGGATTTTAGCTGTGTTAAGCTAACAGGATTTGAAAACACCCCTTTTGTGCCCATCAGGATGCATCTTTGGTGATGTGAAAGTGACCAGGACTTAATGGTGCTGTGTTACCAAAGACAGAGTTGTTGAGGAAGGGAAGGTCTTGTGGTTAAAATACTGGACTGGGATTGAGACCTATGTGTGTGGCTCTGACACAGACCTTGTGTGATCTTATATACGGAGATATACGGACCCTGAAAAGTTATCGAGTCCAGCCCCCTGCCTTCACTAGCAGGACCAGGTACTGATTTTTGCCCCAGATCCCTACATGGCTCCCTCAAGGATTGAACTCACAACCCTGGGTTTAGTAGGCCAATGCTCAAACCACTGAGCTATCCCTCCCCCAACCCCATCTTGGATAGGTTGCCTAATTTCACTATGCCTTGGTTCCCCCTGTAAACTGGAAATGATAATTCTAGCTTTCTCCTATTCATGGTCTTGTCTATTCAGGTTGTAAACTCTTGTGAGCAGGGACTGTCTCCTACTATGTCTTCGTACAGCACCCGGCACCAAGGAGCTATGATCTTTGCTGGGGCCTCTAGGCATTTCTGTATTGTAAATAATGCAGCATAATTGTTCTAGTAACTACATGTGGAATCTTTATATAACTAAAAGGTTAAAGACTTCCCTTCTGTTTTCCAGGTCTACAACTCGAACAAAGACAATCAAAGTGAAGGCAGTAAGTATTTTTTTTTTAAGAGCAAGATCTTGTTGCTTGGGAAAACTGATGCATTGTGAGGAGGAGGTGCTGCGAATAGGAATTGCCCTGCACGCCATCACAGCATGCAGTCATTACCGATGTGGCCATGTCTGTTGCTTATATTTGACTGTAATCATGGAACAGTTTGAATGAGACAGAAGGGACTGGGAAGTGAGATTGTAATTCTTGTCTCATCTGCACTGGAGCATGATGCTCAGATTTCCCCATCCATTAAATTGGGATGATGATGATGAGCTGCATCAGTTTGTAAAGTACCCTGAGGAATTAAGTGTTAGATATATGAGAATGATTATTATAAAAAGCAAGTATGATTTTGTTTAATATTATTGATAATTATTAATAATAATAATAATACAAAAAACCCACCAATCCTTCCTTCTCTCCAACTCAACCAATGGGACACCCAATAGACCAGCCTTCTTTTTACCATAAGAGGACTCAGACTGTGTAGTGTAAAAGTCTTATGGAGCAAGCCAGTGCCAACAGATACACTGGGAAGACCCTGCCTAATCAGATCTCTGAAAAAGAGCCCAAAAGATGGATCTTAAAGACTTGTTATCTCCCTTAGCCCAAACAATCAATGCGTCCTGGACTCAGAAGAGTACTCCCATTGCTCCTAGGAGGAGCAGTTCCACCTTGTCCCACCTCTCACTTTCTATGTCTCAAAACGCTTAATTGGACCATTTTCAATAGGTTTGGGCTAGCATAGATATTCTCCAAATTGCAGCTACTCAAAGCTCTTAAATGCACCTAAAGTTACTGGGCACACTGAAGCCAACTCTTTATTTTTAAACAAGTAAATATTTCAATTGTAAGCTCTCTGGGACAGGAACCTGTCTTCACACTTGCCTGGAAGCACCACTCACTGTGATACTACTTAGACACTAAGGGTATGTCTACACTACCCGCCTGATTGGCGGGCAGCGATCGATCCAGCGGGGGTCGATTTATCGCGTCTAGTCTGGACGCGATAAATCAATCCCTGAGCGCTCTCCTGTTGACTCCTGTACTCCGGCGCAGCGAGAGGCGCAGGTGTGGTCGACGGGGGAGCGGCTGCAGTCGACTCACTGCGGTGAAGACACTAGGGTAAGTCGATCTAAGTATGTCAACTTCAGCTACGTTGTTCACATAGCTGAAGTTGCATAACTTAGATCCATCTCCCCCCCCAGGCCTAAGTGAGGGAATGTTTGGTAGGGGCTTTTTTTTTCTTGCAGCTGCTCACAGCTCTTGCTCCTCTCCACTCCCCGGCCTCCCTCTTCCTGACACGGATTAAACCCTGGTTATTGGCTGCATGTGGTTTTTATCACATTTGGTATTTTTATTGTGCTTCCGTGCAAAGCAAAATGATGAACACCCAGCCCTGACATGGTGCTTCATGTTCACAAAGGGCTGTGCGAAGGAGTAATACTTTGTCCTTATATGACACCTTGCCTCAGAGGAGCTCAAAGTGCTTGTATCCCCATTTTACGGCTGGACAAAATAAGGCACAGATCGATTGTCAGGGAGAAGAGAACAAAAATCAGTCAAAACCTTAACCTGGACCTGTGACCTCCCGTAAATGGTCAGGTTGCAAAATGATCGCAATTTTAAAACACACTGCACCTTGGCAGTGGTAGAGTTCAGGTCACAAGTCCTTGGGAAGCTTTCTGTGGTCACTTGCCTTTTCTAATTCCCCATCATTCCCTTTGTTTAAGGCACACTGAGTTTGCAAAGCCTACACTGGCTCTGTAATGCCTAGCTTAGGCTCTCCATACATAATGCCCCAATAAATCTGGGGGGCCCTCTTGAGGGGCAGTCTGAACTCTTTACATTCATTTGGGCCACTTATCAGAGGCAAGTTTATTTACACACAGTCTGTTGCCTTAGCTCCCACTGGTGTCTAACTCTTTGAACAGATCACTGGCAGCTTTATTAAGGGCGTGAGCTAAAGGAGGGCTGGAGTGTGGAGGGCAGGAGGATGAGAGTCCTGTTGCCATTTTTAGGCAGCCAGTAGCTAAGATGAAAGCCCCATGAGATCATAGGCCTTTGTTGCTGTGGGATCCCGGCTGGTGTGTGGCTTATAAATAGAATGTTTTCCCCTGCTGAATCTGAGAAGGGGTATACACACTAATGGGGAATTTCAGACTTGCTTCTGGACATCGAGGTCCTTCATCTGATAGGTCTGACATTCAGCTGACTGAGCAGCCTGGGGTAGCATGGCTTCCCTTTCTGTCCTTGCCAGCCACTGGTGCTGACAAATGGAAAATGATTTCAGCCCCACTCCCCCGCTCCTCTCCCCACAATTTTTCCCCCCTCTCCAAGGCAAGATTTACATCCCTGTCAGTTTTGGTTTTTTATAGAGGTGATGAGTGATACAAGATGGTGTAATTACAGGTAATTTGATACCTACCGGTAGGTGGGCTATGCAGTGCTGCTAACTTTGTCTTAGCCTTGCTTCTGAGTGGTACAATTAGTGCCGCTTGCATTGTCTGAGCCAATCTCTAAATTCACTGAGTTGGAGCTGCAATATATTAGTTGAGAGGAGGCATGTTAACAGCTGGTTCCTTAGGTACACAGTGACAAAGCAAGGTTTTACTGATTCCTTCAGGGACTACGTAGGTTACAGCTTGGGGCTCTGCGCCACACAAGCCAGTGTCTGACCCTGCTAACGGGAAGAGAGATTAAAACTTGGTCTGTAGCACCGTTTGTACTTGAGATGTCTCCCAGAGTGCATTAGTGCAGTGACAGTGTGAGTAAATATGGTACTCCATATTTGGTTGGCAGTATGGCCAAGTCTTAGCCAGAACTCCATTCTGGCTCTGGTAGGGACTGGTGGCATTGTAGGGATAGTGTACTTTTACTCTCAAGGGGAAGAGGGTGGCGTAGCTGATTCTTTGTTTCCTCTTGGCTTCTATTCCTGGCCATGGACTTTGTGTAGCTTTGGGAAAGTCACTAGTTACAGCAGTAGTAAGTGCATGTAGGGTATGTCTACACTGCAGTTAAACACCCGTGGCTGGCCTGTGTTAGCTGACTTAGGCTAAGGGGCTGTTTAATTGCAGTGTAGATTTTGCAGAACCAGCTGGAGCCTGGGCTCTGGGACCCTGCAAGGGGAGAGGGTCCCAGAGCTCAGGCTCCAGCCCCAGCCTGAATGTCTACACCACAGTTAAACAGCATCTTAGCCTGAGCCCCAAGAGCCAGAGTCAGCTGATGGAGGCCAGCCCCAGGTTTTCAGTTGCAGTGTAGACATACCCTTAGTGACCCTTCTCACCAAGGTATCTGGGTGCTTTTCAAAGCTTAAGTTGAGGCATTCGAAAGGAGATCAAACACCTTGTTTCTCTGCTGCCTGCAGCTTCACTAGTCAACTGAGAATCTAGGATTTAATCAATTGGGAAGGCCTGGACAAAGGTGCCTGTCTTTCAGTATCTTCTCCTTTGCCATGCCACATCTGCAAAATGAGGAGAATGCTGCTTGCCTACTTCACAGACTAGATTTAGTGTTTGTATAGTGCACCAAGAGCCTCAGGTGAAAGGTGTGTACGTAAAAGTAAAGTATTATTAAGTTGGCCTGTGCAATTCTTCTTCTTCGCGTGCTTGCTCATGTTGATTCCATTCTAGGTGTGTGCGCGCCCATGTGCACAGTTGTTGGAAACTTTTGCCTTAGTGGTATCCGTAGGGTCGGCTGTGGCGCCCCCTTGAGTGCCGCGCTCATGCGTCGGTATATTAAGCGCCGCCGACCCTACGCACTCTCAGTTCCTTCTTACTGCCTGTGACGGTTGGAACGCCTTGTCTTGCGGATTGCAAGAGCATTGGTGGTTCTTTACAGCCTTCTTTGTACCACAAGCTGCCAAACTGTGAACTCTGAGCCCACCTCCGAGGATACTGCTTGTGAGTCACCTAGAATGGAATTGACATGAGCAAGCACTCGAATGAGAAAAATTGGTTACCTACCTTTCGTAACTGTTCTTCTTTGAGATGTGGTGCTCATGTCCATTCCATTACCCACCCTCCAACCCCTCTGTCGGAGTTGCCAGCAGGAAGGAACTAAGAGAGCGCAGGGTCGGCGGCACCTAATATACCGACGCATGAACGCAGCACTCAAGGGGGTGCCACAGCTGACCCTACAGCTGACCCTAAGGCAGAAGTCTCCGACAACTGTGTGCATGGGCATGCGCACACCTAGAATGGAATGGACATGAGCAACACATCTCGAAGAACAACAGTTACAAAAGGTAGGTAACCGTTTTTTTTCCATATGGTAACCCAAACTAAAGCAGCTGCTCATGTGTTCAAACATACAACTGTGGTCTAGTACCCTTTAAAAAGTGTGTATGAATTGAACTGTACATATGACCAGCTCTGCTCAAATTGATTCCAGGGACAGGGAGCACCAGAGACTAGGCCATTGGCTAGGTTATTTGCCATGTGATCCTGGGTATGGAACCTCCCTACAAAGATGTTAAAATTGATTTAGTGATTGATTGCTCCTGTGGAGTCTGTGTCTAAGGCCTGACTCCCAGAGCCAACAAGACTATTTTATTGCCCTGCTTGCAGTGGTCTGAGACCCAGGATGTTGTACTGAAGAGTGCTTCTTGGCTGCTCTCTTAGTTTACAGAGCCATCGGATTTTATAAGCTAGTAAGTGGCCAGAGGGCCAGCATCCATAAAGTAATTTATCCTGCTCTGCTTAGGGAGTAAAGGGAGTGACTTGAGAGAGGGGTGATGTGGGGGTGGAGGGATGAGTTTCAGTGAACTTCTAACACTAAGTGTATTTTAATTTCTTGGTTAGCAAAATCCAGAAGACCTGTCCTGTTTTGCCCTGCTCTAGTCTCTGAAAACAAATACTCTAGGCCGTTTGGACTTGGTACATGGAAGAAGATGAATGAATACATCCTCTGCCTCCAACTCCACTGGCTCCCCATTCACTTCAGGATCTGGTTCAAAATTGTTCACCTTAGTTTTATAAACTCTTCATAGACCTTAT